GTTCTTGTGAACATTTCTCTTTGATCAACTCAATTAAATTTGGGACATTGGAGGCAGAGTAAGGATGGTCCCATAGAAATATATAACAAATAGAAGAAAGGGGAAGCTGATAGTTATTAATATTAAATCAGAAATTAGGAATTATAGAAAATTGATAAGGGAAGCAAATGGACACAAGGAGAAATCTATGGCCAACAGTGGTAAGGACAATAAGGAGTTTTTAAATATATTAGGAACAAGAAGAATCCTGACAATGATATTGATCCACTACCAGATGGAAATGATAGAATTATCAATAATGCAGAAAAGGCAGAAGTGTTCAATAAATATTTGTTTTCTATTTGGGGGGAAAATAATTATATAGTCTCATCACGTGGTGGTAGTAACACTCTTTCCATTCTGTTAGTGTCTCTGAAGGCTGTTAAACATCAGCTACTAAAGTTAAAAATTTTTAAATTAGCAGGTTCAGGCAACTTACATCCAAGAGTTCTAAAAGAGCTGGCTGAGGAACTTGCTGGACTATTAATGTTGTTCCCCCCCAGTAAGTTTTTGGAGTAGTGGGGAAGTTCCAGAAGACTGGAAGAAAACTAATATGCCAATTTTTAAAAATGGTAAACAGGATGACCCAGGTAATTATAGGTTTGGTATCTATCCTGGGCAAGATAATGGAGAGGCTGATATGGGACTCAATTTAATGAAGAATTAGAAGATAATATAACTAATGCAAATCAATGTGGGGTTATGGAAAACTGATCCTGTCTAACTTATAATTTTTTGAGTTCATAAGTTTGGTTGATGAATGTAATATTACTGACATAGTAAATTTAGACTCTTTTTTCTATGGTGTTGGACTTAGTACCATACAACATATTCATTAAATACTAGAATGACATAAAATTAACATGGCACACATTAAATGGATTAAAAATATGCTTACTGATAGGTCTAAAATATAATTGTAAACAGGGAATTTTTACTGAGTAGATGTGTTTCCAGTAGAGTCCTTCAGGGATTAGTTTTGTGCCCTAGACTATTTAACATTTTTATCAGTGACTTGGAAGAAAACATAACATCATCACTGACAAAGTTTGTAGATAACCCCAAAATTGAGGGAGTGGTAAATAATGAAGAGGACAGGTCACTGATACAGAGTGAGCTGAATAGCTTGGTAAATTGGGTGCAAGGAATGAATATGACTTTCAATATGGGTAAATGTCCACCTCTAGGAACAAAGAATGTAGGCCATATTTGCAGAGTGGGGGACCCTATCCTGGGAAGTGGGCAGTCTGAAAAAGATTTGGGGATCGTGGCAAATAATCAGATGAAAATAAGCTCCCAAATTTATGCTGTGGCCAAAAGAGCTAATCTATTCCTGCATACATAAATAGGAAAATTTTGAGTAGGAATAGAGAGGTTATTTTACTTCTGAATTTTGCACTGGTGCAACCACTGCTGGAATACTGTCTGGTTCTGGTGCCAATAATTCCAGAAGGATGTTGATAAATTGGAGTTTTCAGAGAAGAGTCACAAGAATGATTAAAGGATTAGAAAACATACCTTATAGTGATTAAGCCAAATAGTCTCAAGGAGCTCAACAAGGAGAAAGCTAAGTGCGTATTTGGGGAACAAATATTTAATAATGGGCTTTTCAGTGTATCAGAGAAAGGTCTAACACCATCCAATGGCTGGAAGGTGAAGCTAGAGAAATGCAGACTGGAAATAAGGCATACTTTTTTGACAGTGAGGGCAATTTACTAAGATGGATTCTTCATCACTGACCATTTTAAAATCATGATTGGATGTTTTTTTCTAAAAGATATGCTTGAAGAATTATTTTGGGGGGAAGATCTATAGCATGTGTTATACAGGAAGAAAGCCTAGACTATCAAAATTGTCTCTTCAGGACTTGGAATCTACGAATAGTTAAGGCAGTTGAATCCAATTCTTCGGGGCAGCATTCTATTCCTGTCTCTGTCCCAGAGTTCCTGTATGATGCATCTAAACCCCATTTTTCATAGCTGGCCACTAATTATGTAATCCTCATTTTCTGGGTACCCACATAAGACACCTAGGACTACATTTGCTGAGGTGCTCAGTACTCACAACTGCAACTGAAGTCAACTGGAGCTGTTCTTTGAACATGTAAAATGCTAGTAAGCAAAAATTTCATTAACGAACTTCAATGGAGCCAGGATTTCACCCTTTATGTAGATACCTTATTTTCCCCCTACCCCTTAGTTTTGTTAGTTTTTTGGTATTTGATTTGTATCTTGTTATGGTGCAATGTACATTAACTGTGGGTGCATCACTACAAGCTTGTTGTTAGGGTTGGTGGAACCTATAAAATATGATCATTCCATTAACAGTGTGATTATACACTATTAGATTTTGGCATAAGACAATATATTTTTTATTAACTGGTATCTGCATTGAGACCTTCCTCAAGCCTCTAACATACATTTTGTTGTGCTCTCTTTGAGATAGCCCATCTGACTAGCAAGTGTTGCCTTCTAATGACAAGGAGTAACCAAATGTAATGGTTTTAGGATGTAATACTTTTTATGTACATAACTGAATAATTGGCTAGATGGAATATGGAGTTTTTCACCTTCCCCTGAAATATCTAATATTGGCCATTGGTTTAGGCAAGATAGCAGATTGAACGGACAATGTTAAATGGACCAGATCCTTATGTGGTGTAAACAGGTATAGCTCCACTGAAGTTATTTTTATGGCTTCTCTAAAATATGACTTGTTTGCTGTGCTGATTGTGTAGCAGAAGGACTAACAAATATTGTTCCCAGAGCTGTGCTGACATCAGTTGATGCTATGTATAAAAATCTTAAAATTAATAAGATGTTTTATTTTACTAATTAGCTCTTAAATATGCCTCTGCCAGGCTTCATCTTTTTGAGGGATCAGATGTTTCATGTGCTTTTTCCCAGTCTCTTGTTTCTCTTTCTTTAGAGGAAATCTCCTATATTTACAGGAATGAAATGTAGCAAGTATAATGCTTTTAGCAAGCAACCTGTGGTGTCTGATTGATGGAACTGTGATGTCTGCTACTAAATCTCATTCATTTTCTGAGCGGAGAATGGCTAGCCAGGTGTTAGAAGATGAACATCAGTTCAGGGTACAAATTCTAGGAAATAAAGATCCTTTCAGGAGAAAAAGCTTCAGGTTTAAAAAGGAAAGCACATGATAGTCATTAAGAATGCATCCCGGCCAGATTACTTTGCTGTTGGTGAAACTGGTATAAGGTTTCAGAGTAGCAGCCGTGTTAGTCTGTATCCGCAAAAAGAACAGGAGTACTTGTGGCACCTTAGAGACTAACAGATTTATTAGAGCATAAGCTTTCGTGGACTACAGCATCCGAAGAAGTGGGCTGTAGTCCACGAAAGCTTATGCTCTAATAACTTTGTTAGTCTCTAAGGTGCCACAAGTACTCCTGTTCTTTTTGTGGTATAAGGTTGAAGCTCAGTAGTGTTTCCTTGGAGCATCTTTTCCTTTATAGAAGTAGGCATAAGGCATATATTTTATGAACGAATACATCCCATGCCATATGACTGAGAAAGGGAAAAATAATTGAGCCTACAAATGTGTTAATATCTTTATGAATTCCTTTGCTGTCCAGTTTGAAAATCTGAGTCATGGCATTGAGACAGAGGTTGTCATATAACCAGACTGTATGGAAAAAGAAAGAATAGTGATTCAGGAAATTAAGAGACTATACACCAGAAGTCATGGCAAAAATATATTCCATAACCTCTAGTTGTTCAAAATAAATTACAAGGGCACTGTTCTGTTTTTAATTATATCTGACATATTTCTACATTAGTATATAGCTTTAAGGATGCCCAACCCCCACCGGCAGCCACTGTGCCCTGTCAGTCATCCTGAAATACACTAGAGCGCTTGTCAGGCCATCAGCTTGCAGATGCACCATGAGCCATAATAGTTGTACTGAAGTTCTAAGCAATTTTTCTGGTGTTTAGACAGTTGCTTTAGTGCCTGACTGTGGACTGTTTGTTTTGAGATAGGTGAGTTATGTTGTTATCTTGTAAGTACAATTAGTGATTTTAGCAGTAAACAAAATTCTAATGATTATATATTAGAAAGGTTAGCTGTATTTTTGGAGCCACTTTCTGTCATTACATTATTTTATTTAAATTATAGAGTACCGATTGTACATAGAGCTTGTCTAACAATTATAATTTTTATAGTTGAATTTTACTTCAGGCTGCAGAAAACTTTCTTGCTTTTATTTATTTCCAATCCCACGCCCCATTCTTTTATTCACTGAAACGCAGAACGTTGTCAATTTAGACATAGTTCCTAATAAGAACACATAACAAAAATTAGCACTTAGCTTAAAGTATACCGTTGTGTATGAGTGCAGGTTATTGGTTTTTGTTCCATTGAGACTGAAATACTCTATCTCCATGACACCTGAAAGTCATGTCTAATGTTCTAAGATGTTGTAATACACTGGTGAAATTGACTTCTGTATAGATTAATATATCTACGTAGTTTTGCATCAAAGTATCTTATAACCAAGAGCCCTACTGTATCCAAAGGGCATACTATACTAGAGTAGATATTTTGTTTTTATTAAACAATGGGCTGTGATCTCTGTGTTCTCAAGAAATGCACACCTGGGAAAGTTGTTTGCTTAGCAAAGAGGCAATATAGTTCCAGTTACAAGCACAGGCGGTTCTCCTGAAATTACAAATATCAGAAAGTGCCTTAAGTATTTTCCCTGATTGCCTCTATACTTTCCTCTTTATTGCCCTGATATGTTTCTAATCCACAAGAATACTAATAATTAACAACATAAAAATGATAGTGAAAACATAGAATGTTATGAATACTTCTGCAGGGCACAGCTGAGGATTCAAAATAGCTTGTAAGCAATACTGTGAAAACTGTACTAACTAGGGTTGCCAACCGTCCAGGATTGCCCTGGATTCTCCAGGAATTAAAAATTAATCTTTTATTAAAGATTGTCATGTGATGAAACCTCCAGGAATACGTCCAACCTAAACTGGCAACCCTAGTGCTAACTTGTTAAGATTTTGCACTTATCGAAGCCACTTTTAGAGGAATTCCTTTTTGTAAGAAAGAGGCATGCTACAAAAGACTACTTTCCAGAAACCTCTAAGTGTTCAGTTGTTTTACTGTAGCTTAAAATATATGATTGAGATTTTCAGAGCAGTGCTGGGGATTTTGCCACACATTTTCCACTAATTTTAACAATATAAAGTCCAGACCTAGAGCTTGCTGAAGTCAGTGGGAGGACTACCATTGCCTTAATAGGGATTTGATCTGGCTCTAAGCAGTCAGTAAGTATGTCTGTTTATTAGACAAACTGGTAGTAGCAAGGGGTTGCAACAACAAATAGAAATGGTTCTCAGCTTCAAAACTTGAGTCTGGTTTATAACATGCCCTAAGAAGACTGTTCAGAACCAAGGTTTTGGATCAAGCTAATCTTCAAGAAGATGAGAACAAGTGGTGGCATAATAAAATTAAGATGTTTACAACAGTCTCCAACCTGTCAAGGAATATGCAAAATATGAAGACGAGTCATCTTTCACTTTGAGTATTTGTTATAGGAGGGTAAATGCGATGGTGGCTGCAGCATGCTGTCAAACAGGCAAGGAGTGAATGCTTTTTGTTTCTGTATTTTTTAAGTTAAGCAGTGTTGCCACATTTTGACTGAGTTAAGGTGACTCCACTAGGAACAACTTAAATCGTGAGTATGTCTAAAGAGAAAATAAACCAAAAAAATCTTCCAGTGATTTCTTCAAACTGACAATAGAAGCATGAGGTGCTTCCCCTTGCAACTGATGTGCAGACTTGCCAAGAATGAATTCAGAACAAAATTAACACTGTCCATTTGCAACAGCTCTGGTGGTCTTCAATTTGGACTTGCAATTTTGGGAAACAAACCTTGGAAATAAATTCAAAGCTGCAAAGCAAAAACCAAGAGCATTGTGCATAATAAAAAGTGGACTGGGTCGTTAATTTAAAATGAAAATGCAGTTTGAAATTTTGGCTAGACACTTCAGAAAGCCAGGTCACTGATGTTCCCCCACCTCCCCAAAAGGTGAATTTCAGTAGGTTGAAGAAAACAGGCCTTTCAAGGGTGTGAAATTGTTATTATTCTCTGATGCTAAAACAGCAGAAGAATCTGGTTCTCAGACAGTGGAAAGAACCCATTGACTTCAATGGTCAGGCTGAACCCAAAACTTCACTTCTATACAAAGCCAGTCTTGTTGATTTATCATGGAGTGGCAGCTTAGGAAGCATTAAATAGGAGTCAAATGTAGGTTCAGATGTGGAATCTAATTCAGAAGTGGACATGCATGGCTGGCTAGCTGATAATAGGTTTCTAGAAGCCATAAACTCATCGATATTAGAATTAGCTTTCATACCAATATGTCAAAAAGGACCTTGCATTAATATTTACAACTTGTCTGAGATGTCCTAATGCAAAATGGATGTGTGACTGTCTGAATGGAAATCTATTTTCCAGGTTACTGTTAGATTTCTTGCAAATATTGACAGAAATAACCCTAATTTAGCACTAGTGTGTAACTTACCTGCACGCTAGGCAAGTTTTGAAGTTTTGTATTTCTTTTTTATATTGTGATGGGGGAACCTTTTCTGAGCTTTAGTGCCCAAAAATAAAGTGACAGGTTGACAGCCAGCATCTTTGTGGATGTCTGTTGATCTGTACTTCCTTCCACCTTGGCTTGCGATAGCCCCATCTTTAACATTGGACATCCACTCTGGGGTCAGAGCATTATGCACTTGGATATATATATATTTTTTAATACATGAAGAGCAAACAGATATTTGCAGTCAGTGGGACCTCTTATTATAGATTTAACAGCAGCAGAACAAGAAAGAACAAAAGTGAAGTTGGTGAGAGTGTACATATAGTAGCAATACATATATTGCTTCTCAGCTCTACATATAGTAGGTGTCTCCTCTGAAAGTCTAAACTGAACTCTGAAAACAAGATGGTTTCTGATGGCTGTACAGAGAGAGTGCTTTGAAATATAAAGGTTCACTACCAAATCAAAAGGCATCTTGATTTCATAGCTACATAACCTCAGGTATATCAGTTCCTCCCAGACTATGGAAGTCTATTTGGGGACATGCCACCAGAACAGGAATCGTGCTATTTCAAGCATTCATGACTTAAGTTCAGCACCATTGTACTAAACCATCTTGTTCCCTTGCTACCTCCACTGGACAGCAGATGGAGAGAGTCTACTTTGTCACAGTGAAGACTAGAAAATGCCTAGAATATGAGAATAGGGAAAAAGTTTAGAGATAACTTCTCTCCTGCTGAATTGTTCTTGGTTTAAAAGAAGAAAAAAGTTTTTTTAAAATATATTCTAAAAGTTAAATTCACTGACAGTAAATAACTATGCAAAAAAAAAATGAGGATCATCTAAATGACCTTGTTTTTCAGCATATACAGTATAGCCAATTTCAAGTTTATGGAGATGGAAAAAACAGATGAAAAGAGGATAAGAACTTTACAGAAAGTAGGAAGATGGATGAAACAAATTGTTTGTTCTTTGTGCAGCTTTTGTAGTCTTTGATAGTTGTCATTCATTCTCAAATTTTCAAATAGCAGATATGAACTGTAATCAGGTGCAGACTCACTCCTGCGGCACCTCCTGCTGGTCGTCTTGGGAATTAGCTCATCCAGAGTGCCCTCTGCAGGCCAGGTGTCCCGCCTGTCGTTGGCCCCCCCCGTGTCCCTCCTGGACCCCGGTGCCTTTGGCTTGAGTGCTGCCCCCCTGGCAGTACTCCACTCTCTCTCTGGGTCTCCCACCTAGGGGAACCCCCACCCCCTATCCCAATGTCACCTCAGTTGTGGCTACTGCCCATCATCAGCTAGCCCCTGCAGCCTGGGCATACTGTAGTCTATCAGCCAGTCATCACCCCCAATACCTATATGGGCCTAGGACCAGGCCCTGCAGCCTGGGGAGTTGCTGGCCTAGGGCTTCCCAGCCCGCAAGGCCTTTCCCCAGCCCTGCCTCACTCTAGGTCCCCAGGTGAGCTCCCTGCAGCCAGGCCTGTCTCTCTCTCTCCTGTCAGAGGGAGACTCCTCAGCTTCTGGCTGCCCTGGCGTTCTTATAAGGCTGAGTTCCTCAGTTTGGGGCGTGGCCCCATCTGCCGCCACTTCCCCAATCAGCCGGGGTTTTGCTCCTTTCAGGGCCGGCTCTGGCTTTTTGGTCGCCCCAAGCAAAAAAACAACAACACACACACGGGGCGGCAAGAACGGGAAAGCAAAAAACAAACAAACAAACAAAAAAACCTGATCTGTGCGCTGGAGTGTGGGTGCAGGGGGACCGGCTAGTGGGGGGGTGGGGAAGAGGGAGCGGGCGGGATAGAGAGAGAAGGGGGGCGGCCAGGGCTACAGCCGGGCACTGCCACGTGGTCCCTCCTGCTGCGCCGCCTGCCGGGAGGGCTCCGCTCCGGTCGGCGGGGAGGGAAGGATGAGGACTGCCCTGCCGGGCTTGCTGCAGGGCACTCCCGTCCTCCGCACTGCCGCCCCCTACAGGGCCGCTGGAGTGGAACACACACACAAAAAAGTGGCCGTGCCGCCCTAGGATTGGGCGGAATGCTGCCTCGTTCAATCTGCTGCCCCAAGCACCAGCTTGCTCGGCTGGTGCCTGGAGCTGGCCCTGGCTCCTTTACACAGCCCCAGCCCTCTGCAGGGCTTTTCCAGCCCCTTCCAGGCTGGAGCGGGTGTTCACCCCGCTACAGAACCAGAAATGTGGGGCACCAATGTAACTTTAATGGAACAACAAGAGTTCCACCAGAACAGAAGAATTTCCTGATTCTACTACCAATTATTTTAACGAAGGGCCTCCAGCAATGGTTGTTGCCTATTGTTCTGTACTGAACTAATCCATCTTTTCAATGGCGTGAATTTTGACAGCGATAAGGATGCAAATAAAGAAATAGATTTAATAGTTTTTAACACAGCCACTAGGTAAAGTGGTGTCCTCAGGACAATGTTAATGTGAAATCCTGGCTTTTGCCATTCTTATGGCTGTCATGCCAAAGCCAGTTTTGTTTCTAAATTAAAGTCCAGGGCTGAAATCCTGGCCCCATTTGACTCAATGGCAAAACTTTCATTGACATTAAAGTCAATCTAGATATAGATTCACATGAGCTTTTGCTGAATTAATAAAGATTAAAGATGAGTGTTTTATTCTGTCCTACTGGAGAGCAATACCTCTCTCTGCATGTGTCTGGTTTTGATTTTTTTCCCTATAAGATTGCCAGAAGATTTTAGGTAGCACAATCTTTTATGCTTCAATTGTATGCTGTATGGGGCAGGGACACATTTTTTTTGTTCCGTGTTTGTACAGCGCCTAGCACTCTGGGGTCATGGTCCGGGACTACTAGTCCCAATTGCTATGTGAATATAAATAATATGGGAGGGGGGGAGGGAGACAGCTGATGTTTTGATGCTCATGATCATGTCAACAGATGTCTTGACGGGCATTAACTCCCACAAGAAGTAGCCTTCTGCATTTTATAGTGAGGACTAATGTCCTCCCCAATTTTTCTTAGAGGCAACTTTAACCTATATAACATGGGCTTTGGCACAGTTGTGACCTCCTGTTTTAGGCTACTCAGGGAGGGCACTTAAACATGTATTTGGTTTTAAGCATGTGCTTAAGTCACACTAAAATCAATGGGATTTAAACATGTGCTTAAAATTAAGCATGTGCTCAAATGCTTTCCTGAACTGGGGCCTGACAGCAGACCCTAAGTGTGGTAGTAATCCTATACGTTGCATACTGTGTTGTATCTTTACTTATAATGGTGTTACAGCATTCAAATCAAATAACCTAATTTTCTTGTTTAAAAGCTTCCTCAGGATTTTTTTGGCAATACCAGAATACTTAAATTTATGTAAAAATCTAAAATTCTTGCTATAAGCGCTAGACAAAAAGGTAGGAAGTTTTCTTTAGTCAGGAATAGTATTGTAAAGACTTCTACTCCTCATGGTTGTCATCTACTCCTATACAATTGAATATACTAGAACCCACGATGAGCTGCAAATGTGATAGACTAGTAATTAAGCAGTAAACTTGCTCCTTATGTAATCTTTACTGAGAATGGTGCAAGCATAAATTGCCTCTAACCTTAACTCTTCAATCATCAATCATCATCATCAACATGACTTAAGCTAATATTTTCTTCATTACACAGAGAGGGAAATATGAGCAACATGTTATTCAAGTTGCCTATAATAAATTTTTTCACTAGAAACCCTGAGCCTACTGTCTCACATTAAATCAGTGCTAGGTTCACCACAAGGAGATGCATTGTCACCCTAGACTGCATAATCATAGTATTTTACTATTGTAATATACAGCAGTTGTAATAAGTCCTGTTTATAAAAGACAGTCATCTGTTATTTCTGTATTAGAAGCCTTTATTGGTTAAATATACTTTGCAGAGGTGTGTTTAATGTGTCTTCTAGGTCAGTGGTTCCCAAACTTTAACAACCCGCGAACCCCTTTCACTAAATTGTGAAATCTCGTGAACCCCCACCTAAAAATGAATATTTCCAGCGATTTGTTTAAATTTCCTCAGTGTGGTAGATGTGCTTACTTTTCTTTGCATAGCTCTTGGAAATCCGGAACCACTGGAGAAAGATAAAGTCTCAGGTCTGGTTCGGCATCAAGTCTATTTCTGTATTTAGTTTTCAGATGTGCATACAAGGAAAACGCTTTCTCGCATAATATGTTGTTGAAAATGGTAACAAAACTGTAGTAGCTTTTTCTGCCCGAAGGGGGTATTGGTTTCTTAAACTCAGCCAAAAGTTGATCAATGACAGATTTCTAAAACTCCTTTTCAGTTTGTTATCACAGGAGATCTCAATCAATTTCCTCTTTTTCAATATCTGTGTTGAGAAAGTGGTATCATCAAAAGGGTTGCGAATCCAGTCATCATCGCCTGACATAGCTGGAAAGTATTCCCTAAAAGTTGTGCGAAGTCCTTTTAGGTGTGCAATTACAGTATATTAGTTTTAGTGCACTGATCCAACTGAAGCTTATGTTCTTCATGACTTCCTGGAAGATTACTGAAACATCCAGTTTGATTATTTTCCAAACAACTTTCCCAGAACTGCAACTTCTTTATCATGGATTCAACTCGCTCTTGCACATTGAAAACTGTTATATTGAGACTTTGAAGAGATAAATGTAGGTCATTAATTCTTGAGAAAATATCTGCTAAATAAGCTAGGCTCTGGAGCCATACATTATTTTCCATACAGCTGGCAAGCTGGAAAGGGTGGCTGTTGGAAAAAAACAAACAAACAAACTAGGATTTCTGTTCTAAGCTCAAACAAGTGCACAAGGATTTTGCCCCATGAGAGCCATCTAACTTTGGTATGGGTCAACAGACAGTTGTGTATACTACCCATTTCTTCACAAAGTATGTGAAATATTCTGGAATTTGGTGGCCCCTGCTCAATCTGCCCTTCATGCCGCCCAACTTCCCTGTCTGCCAAGGACAGGGGTCTGAGCTGCCACCTGCGTGCCTGGGGTCCCAGCTGCAGCCCTGCCAACCATGGGGCTCATGCTGCTGGCCCCATGCCGGGGTCTGGGCCACCGGCTCTGCACTCCACTGAGCTCAGGCTGCTGGTCCCCGCTGACCGCCGGGGCTTGAGCTGCCGGCCTCAACTGCCCAGCCCCGCGCTTCATGGGGCTTGGCGTGCCGACCCTATGCTGACCACTGGGGCTCAGGCTGCCAGCCCCCCCCCCCCCCCACCTGACGGGGGCAGGGCTCAGGCTGCTAGCCCCAACTGCCCGACCCCATTCTCCATGGGGCTTGGGCTACCAGCCCTGCGCTGATGGGGGGGCAGGGCTCGGGCTGCCGGCCCCAACTGCCCAGCCCCATTCGCCATGGGGCTCGGGCTACCAGCCGCGCGCTGACTACTAGGGCTTGGGCTGCGGGCCCCAAGTGGCGCGGGCTCTGTCTGCCCTGCAACCGCATCCCACCTGCTGCTTCCCATGTCTGGGGTCCTCTGGACACCATTAGGGAAATTTTGCTGGCAAACCCCCTGTAATGTTGTGCAAACCCCAGTTTGGGAACCACTGTTCTACGTGCTAAATAGTTAACATTCTATCTACAATGTTAGGAATATTATGTTGACACAATACCGTAGTAGCCTAGGCCCTGATCCTCATTCCACTTATCCAAGTACCTCGGTCCATACCAGTCTGAGTCTTGCTGTCCCAATTATTGTTATTTACTGTTGTATCTTTGTTTTGTTTACAGGTGACATGTCAGCAGCAGTGCCAAATGTTACATTGAAAATTGATCCTCAGGATCTTCAGATCCAGACATTTACAGTGGAGAAGCTGTTGGAACCATTGATAATTCAGGTATTTTTAGCACTGCAATAATATTATGGACATTCATTAGAGGAGAGAAACGAGGGAAGAATTTACTTTACTCCTACTTAATGATGGGAAAACTGTATCTGCGTCTTCTGTACCTATGTATACGCAATACTGGCTCAGGAATAGTCCACTTCACTTAGCTTCCTCTATTCTCACAAATGCAGCACATTTTATTGTACCTAATATAATCTGTTCCACTGAAACCCTTATTCAGTGTTATCCAATGAATATGTAAATATAGAAGGGAGAGAGAGATTACAAGTGGAGCTCCAGTATATAAAATGTCACATGGAAGGAAGGAATTGAGTCTGTTGCAGTTGATAGACAGAGGGGAAAGGAAGATCTTGAGATCTGTAGATAAGTCTAGTTATCTGAACCTAAAAGACTTCACATTCTGTGCCATGTTCTGTTTTAGATGAACCTGTTTGACAGTCCCTAATATCCCTGCTATTTAATTATTGTATATTGTACAAGCATTTTAAATTGACAGGATTTTTTGTCGACAGAAACCTAGACCCAATGGTTTAACAAAACTCCAGCAACTCTATAAATTGAGCCTGTTAAGTGTAAGCAGAGTCACACTATAAAATCTAGGGTTATTCCAAAAGTGGTCACCACTTAAAGAGAAAATCTTGATCACACACAGCTGAGTTTACACGTAAACAAGAAACTTCTTTTTCTATTTTACATCTATGCAATGGAAAATGCCTTGTTGAAAAAAACCTAGACAGAATTGCAATAGAATGATTATGCATGTGACTGTTTTTTTTAAAAAAAGGCACTTGTACTATACCACCCTTTTAAACAGTACTATACTACCCTTTCTTTATTAGGCTAGGAATAGGAAATACGTCCTCTTCTCTGAATCCTAGCCTATTCTTGGAATTTTTTTTTTGATGCACAGATGTAGCAGCATTTGCTTTTTGTAACAGGGTTGCTTGCCCCTTTGAGGGCTAGGGCCAGCCAACCCTAGTTATTAAGGGGACACACCTGAGCGGGGGATCAGCTGATTACCTTATGAAGAGCAGCTGTAAGCTGCAGAGAGAGGGGGGATTCCTAGGGAGACTAGAATGGAGTACAGAGGTTGCTGGGAGTGAGTAGGCTCTGGAAGAGGAAACTTGGGACTTGAGGAATGAGACTACAGACAGGAAAGGCCTCAGAGTGACCTGATAATGAAGTAAATGGATGGATTTGACATTTTAAATGTTTGTTAATTTAATAAACCAGAACCTGAGAAGGGGTGTGAAAGAACAACAGGGTTGAGAGTTATTGAAGAAAGGCCTGGAAGGGGAAAACTGAGGCGAGGTCTGCTTGCAGGGCTGTCCTTAGGCCATGAGGGTGTGTGCGAGAGGCGGCCACCTAATGACACTTCTAGTCAGTTACATGTAGCACAGCCATGTCAGCACATCACTTTCTTTCAAAAAGTGTCACCATTGCAGAGCAAACTTCTTGTCACAATGCTATACTGTTCATTTGTTGTTCTGCTCCTGCTGACTGTTAGAACATAATCTTTCCTTAGGGTCTGATCTGTAGCCTGTTGAATTCAATGAAAGACCCTCCCCTCCCCCATTGATTTCAACAGGCAGAGACAACCGGTGCCTGCCAATAGTGAGGGCAGCAGCTTCAGAAGATGTTACTGACCATGCTCAGTACAAGCCAAGCAGCGAATCAGTGTGTGCGTGTGCGTGAGAGAGAGAGAGACACGTGAGACACGTGACCCGGTGTGCCCCTCCATGTGTGGCCTCTGTCAACAGGCTTTGGATCAGGCCCTCGTACTCTAGTCAAATAGATTATTTTCAGGGATTGGCACTACCATGTTGCATGACGGACACTTGACAAAGTTACCTTACTTAGTGATGGACATGGAGGGGAGGAGGGGGAAGGGGGTTATGTCATTCAACGTTTCTTGAAAAATTACCACGGACCTCAAAATTTTTACCATGGACACATTGGTGACCCCTGATTATTTTACATCGGTACTTAATGTTTGTATTACAGCCCTTTGAGGTGTCACTTGTCTTAAAAGGCAGTTGAGGTTGCTCATCCCTTTGGAGGATCCAAATCTTTGTCCCTGGAAGTAAAAATGCCCCAATGTTGATTGAAATAGAAACAACCTGTTGAATTTATTGGTGCAGATCCTATGTTGTGACTCCAGTTGTGGTGGAAGTGTGTTTATTATTATTGGTCACCAATAATGAATAAAATAAAATAAACATTCTAAGGCTTTGATTCTGTCTGAAGTTAGTATCTTCCATTACAGATTCCAGATCTACATTAATCTTAAAAGAAAGTTATGAAAAATCATCATTATTTCTCTATAGCTAATAGTCGTCGTTAATCTCTTTGCATTTATTCCTTAGTATAGTTTCCATTGTTTTGTTATATTCTTTAAAGTGTTGAGTGCAGAATGTTCCAGGTTACTTATTGCCTTTACATCTAATCTGTGCACTAATTGATAGTGACTTACGTCACTGTCTGACTTCCAGATTCATTTGTTCATAAATCTTTAGCCTGTTCTTTTAATAGTTTCCTTATTCTTCACTTTAAGCTGTGATTTCTCTTTAATCTAAAACTTTTCCCCAGTACATAGGTAAATCAGGAGGTAATTGTGCATGGATGCCAAGCCTGATACATTTTAGTCATCCAATTCCATTTACTCTGTGTGATAACTTTCACAGTTGTATCTATCTGCAATAAATTCCTCCAAAGGATTAGACAATCGTTTCCCCAGCAATTACATTTTTTTATTGTAACTATATGCATATGCATTTAATCGCTTTAAAAAGTCCTCACTGGGCAAAAGAGGTGATACATGGCGGGCGGGGGGGCATGCAGGGTCATGCTCCCCCCCAGATTTGCTGGTTGGCTTGTACTGAGCATGTTCAGTAATATTGATGAAGCTGGCTGTCCTCACTTTGCCCCCCCCCCCCCCGCATCTCTGCTTGGCAATGTAAGGGGGGGGGAGAAACTTGGTTTTATGCAGAGTTGCATTTTTTTTTACTTCTATTTATTGTATAATCTGTAAAAGATGGGCCACACTGCTAGATGCAGTCTGTGAAAGTGGTCCAATCTAGATCATATCTGCACCTTTGTGTCTTTATAGGTAAAAGCTCAGTTGATGAGTGTTGCATTTTTGGCCTACTTCACAAGCACTATAAAGTTTGACTGTACTGTCAGATTGAATAGGCTGATAGCCTACAAAAATATTTTGTATAGGCTTTTTAGGTTCTAAAGGTTGCTGAATCATAAAGCTGGGATGCACTCTCAGTAACATGCTATTTGTGAACTCCCCAAGTAGGCTTCATAATAAATAACTTTGTTGAATAATATATGTAGCACAAAGGCAACACTGATTTCAGGTAGTTTCTGACCTTATTATTTTGCTTATAGGCATGTGAGTGTACTGTGGGTGTACAATCCACTTAAAAACCCTGAACTCTGGGGTTTGGAGAAGAGGTTTGCCAAATTCTTCTGTTCCTCCCCCCCCCCACCTTTTTTTCCGGCAGCTTTCCTTTAAAGAGATCCCATCAACGTGTAAACTGTCTTCAGCTGAAAGTGTTGTACCTATTATTGTTTCAAGATTTGTTGTATTTAAGATTACTGTGACTGCAGGAGTTTAATGGAAAATTCTCCTTTCAGTTTGTTCATTGTGTTCATTTGACAACTGTGACAAAGTTCCTCCTCTATCTTGGTGGGTCCTGCGCTTATTGGCGGATTTTCTTGCCTCAGAGATTCACCACGCAGGTTGGGGAACAGCCCAGAGACCTTCCCCTCTGGGAGAACCCACAGTCCAGGTCAATTGGGAGGTTTGGGGGGAACCCGGGCCCGCCCTCTACTCCGGGTTCCAGCCCAGGGCCCTGTGGACTGCAGCTGTCTATAGTGCCTCCTGTAACAGCTGCATGACAGCTACAACTCCCTGGGCTACTTCCCCATGGCCTCCTCCAAACACTTTCCTTATTCTCACCACAGGACCTTCCTCCTGGTGTCTGATAACGCTTGTGCTCCTCAGTCCTCCAGCAGCACACCCTCTCACTCTCAGCTCCTTGCACCTCTTGCTTCCAGCTCCTCACACTCACACCACAAACTGAAGTGAGCTCCTTTTTAAAACCCAGGTGCCCTGATTAGCCTGCCTTAATTGATTCTAGAAGCTTCTTCTTAATTGGCTCCAAGTGTCCTAATTAGCCTGCCTTAACTGGTTCTAGCAGCTTCCTGATTACTCTAGTACAGCCCCTGCTCTGGTCACTCAGGGAACAGAAAACTACTCATCCAGTGACCAGTATGTTTGCCCTCTACCAGACTCTTGTACCCCACTGGTCTGGGTCTGTCACACAACATTAGGTGTATAGCCAGTTTCATTGTTTTGTTGAAGCTCAGTTGAGTTTTCTCTTTTGTGCATTTATGTGAAGGCATCTCTCCTGCTGGACCTGAGAAAGAGCATGCCCATGGCATCCCCCAGGAGAGTGCTCACCAGACAGAGAACAGCAGTCTCACTACAACTAAAGAGGCAGCAGATTGGGGATATGCATGGAGGGAAAAAGAATAGGTGGGTAGGGGACAGGGAAGGGTCAAGTATATTTGGTGTTGTGGTTCTCAGGCCTGCTTATTCTTTTACTGAAAAGACACTTGGACCATTCTCCTCTGGTATATCAACTCTGAAGTGTAGTAGGTTTGGGCCGAGGTTCGGCCCTCAGCGGGGCTGTGGGGTGTCCCACCGCCTCGCTCTGGTCTGGCGGTAGTCCGGGGCAACAGGCACACAGTTAGGGGCTCAGGCCCATAAGCAGGGGCTGAGTCCAGAGGTCCGAAACCCAGGCCCTTAAGCAAGGGCTGAGGCAAAGTCTATAGCAGCCCAGGCCCTAAGTCAGGGCGGGTAGCAAGCAAACAGTTAGTCAGGAACCCAGGGTACCCAGGCCTTTAAACAGGGTCTGGGTCAATTTGTGGCCGCCCAGGCTCTAGGTCAGGGAAAAAGGGGGGAGTCTGCCACC